GGGTAAAATTGATTTTTCTACAGCCCCTGTCCACAGCAGTGCATTGCTCTGCTTCTCAAAATGGGGGGTGTCCTGACCGCTATCTACTACACTATGTAAGTATAACGCAATCGCAAAAAACACAAACTAACCCTTTGACACAAGAATTCAACTCACAATTGTATGTATACAGCCAGTTTGACGACATAATGTGACACAGAAAACGCTGATTTAAAACATGTGGGGGATTTCCACATACAGAGTAGGTGGAAATAAGATGGAAAGGAGGAAATGTCGAAATTCAGTGGGAGCCAGCACAAAGCTGCTGCCTCCAAGAAATGTTTCTTGGCAAGGGAGAAAATGCAACACTTGAAAGCAACTCTAATTCAATTAACACCTTAGACCACAGTAGACTTAAGCTGCTCTCTGAAAGCAAGATGAACAAAACTTACAACATTTAAAGCAGCTTCATATCAGCTTAGGTCTTGTCCTTAAATAAACTCTGCCTGTGAGTGGAGATCAGGATTTTTGATCTAGAGCCAGACTGTGAAACCAGTCCAGGAAAATACTGTACAATAAATTAAAAGCACTTTAAACACAAACTGATCGGTTATACAGTATTGGGTTAGTGGGTGTGTTGTTGGCTGGTCACCAGTTATGACCAATCACAGTGATGGTGGCAGGAGGGAAGAGTGGACAACCTGGACGAGCTGCTGCTGCCACTTTAAAGGCACTGTTCGATATTTTAGGAGACGCGTGTATTCTCTTTGTTGCAGTTATAATAGATAGATCGATACCACTCCAATGTCTGTCCATAGAGTATGAAGCTACAGCCAGCAGCCGGTTAGCTTAGCTTAGCATTTAAAGAAGAAAGCTGTTTCCCTTCTCTCTAGCCTGGCTCTGTCCAAAGTGATTGGTCGTGTTTTTGTACAAATTAATTACACAAGTATAACGTATTTATTAGACAGCTTTGAAAGTGTAGTATGATTTTTGTTTTTACCACCTAAACTTTCCACGATTAAGTGTATCACCCAAACTATTGCTTTAATGTGCGGTAGTACACAGGATTTGTGCACTTTTTTTATTGCAGCCGCAACCCAGTAGTGGTTGTTAGGTTAGACTTCAAGGTAGGAAGGTAAAAAAAAATCTCAAAAAATATTGTAGTGCAATATTTTGTTTTGTGTTATTGCATCAATTCTTAAAAACACTTTATCGATTTTTATGTTTAAACGTTCAACCCCTAGACAGCAGTGTTGTAAACTGAGGGCTATGATGTTGGATGTTCCATGGACTGTGATAAATGGTGATGTGTGCTTTATACAGTTTCCTAAAATTGGGATAAAAAAAATTCTAAAAATGTTTATCGCCTTCCTTACAGTTTAACAATATAGTGAATGGTAACCCCTTTATTGTGATACATATCGTATCCCCACATTCTTGCTAATACACAAATTAAAAGGAAACAGCTGTATATCTGTAAGAGATTTTTGAGCGACATGTTAGACGTCGCTCTCCGCCACCTTCCTACGATACGATATGTATCACGATACGGGGGTTACTATTCTATATAATGCGATACAGTAAGCAAGGCGAAATATTGCGATTATTTTAAATCTAATTTCAGGAAAACTGTTAGATAGAGAACACAACACCATATTCACAAAGTCTCAGTGAGAAAAAGTTTACTTTTTTATGCAACTAGAACAGTGGAATTTGCCTTTGTATTTATCACAGTCCCTATAAGATCCAACATATTAGCCCTCAGTTTACATTTACAACACCGCTGTCTAGTTAGGGGTTGAAACACAAAATATCTAAATATATTTTTATATTTTTTTATGTTTGCTAGTTCTGTTTGGTCTACCTTTGATTTGGCAGGCATCAGCAGCCAGTAAAGTGAGTTAATCAGCTGAAAGGGCAGGGCTTCACACCTTTAACCTGTTAGCTGTAGATAGGCAAAAAAGATCTCAGCAGAATGTCACTAAAACACTAAAGTTCTCCATCTTATCCACATGCTACTGGGCCTCGCATAATCATGTGTTTGGTGCTCTGTTGTGTCCGTACGTACCTCGTCCTCGTGGGCTTCTTTCAGAGACTCGATTTCTTCCTCATGTTCGTCGTTCTTGGTGTTGAGAGCATAAATCACCTGGAGACGGGAAGAGAATCAGACGACAGAATGAAGGTGGGATAGAAAGCTGTTATTAACTGTTTCAATATCAGATCAATAGTTCTACAGTGAAGAGTAAAGCTCAGTTCTGCATTCAGAGTGCAGCCAAATCAATACCAATAACATCAGTAGAGACACTCTCTGATTAAATACAGAATCCACTGGCTGAGAGCGTTTTGTGTCTAAACTATTTGTCCACAATTTCTCTTCACCGATTGGTGTTTCGTAAAGTAAGCCAAGAAAAACTGGGCTTTTTGTGAAATGAACAAACTGAGCCAGGGTTGTATGTAGCATATGTAAGGACAACTGAGCCAAGACATCACCACACACAACAAGTCATGAGACAGAAGATGGGAACAGAAAGAGAAAGCTGTGATTTCACAGCCAAGCATGTGACTGAAGCAGCTCTGATGAAGGTCTAAGCTCTCTGCCGCAAAGACCTTCATCAAAGCACAGCTCTGCCAAAAGCTTAGAAAATAAATATGCTGCGAAGGCGATACGTGTATTGATATTTTGTTTTTTCTCACTGCTCAGTAAACACAAAAATCCCATACGGCCCTTAAATACGGTCACCTGAAAGTCCTCTGCTGGCTGTGGCACTCTCCACCAACCAGCCTAAGTGAATAGCATCTCGTCAGTCATGCTTGCGCTCTCTCACAGACATCTGAGTAGGTTTTATATGCGCTGGAGGTAAATGATATGCAGGAGCTTTAAAAACCTTAAGCTTCAGCAAACTGAAGCCCCCAGTGAGCAGCTAATATTCAGTCGTGGTCAGCTGAATTACAGCCCCGCTGGCTTCAGAGCTAGAAACGCCACATTTTGTTCCACTTAGAGGTGAGCTGAAAGGTTTACATACAAACACACAGTGTGTAATGGACAATTACGTGGTAATTATCCTCCATAGGGCATAATGACACAGTCATGTAATTAGAACTTTCCGACTTTTAAACACCACTTGGATCAGCATCCAAGTAATTATCACAGCAGGGAGTGTTCTGTTTTATTGAAAGCACCACTGAGGTTCTTGATTTGGCAGAAATACTAAAGCCACTGCTGTAATGCATCGGTACCTCAACCCCAGATAACAGTATTTAGTAGTAACATTACACAAAGTGCACTGACATCTGTTTCACCGACTTAAGAAATGTCCTCAAGGGCAACATAGTCTTTTTCTCCCTGGACATTTCAGGCTTGGATAACTAGCCGCTGGGTAAAGCACTTGCAATAATCTCCTTATGTTCATGACCTTTTTCACAGCCGCCATTTTGACATAAACTAGTAGGGTACACAATATCATCTTTTCTCTATCTAACTCTATCGCCCAACTCCAGTATGATATGCAATTCCCATTTTCACGTGAGTCCAATCAGTAACTGAAGCTGTGATAGGCCTCAGGTGCAATGCATGATGGGAGAGCAATTCCACATGACTATATGCTCATTAGTAGCGGTCGACTGATACAGGTTTTTCAATAGCCCACAGTGTCGGGCTAGTTACTCAAAAATGTAACTGATTACTCATTACTCTTTTAAAAAGTCATATTATTACCCAATATATTATAAAGTATATATTTTATATTAATTGTGCCCTTTCTGCCCAAACTTCTTGGCCGAAACTTGATGGCCGAAGCCGGTGTTTAATATAAAATAAAGAAAAGTCATGTATAATTCATGCTATGCACATTACAACCTTATATATATTCATGGTTTTCTATGGTTACCCAGTAACACATTCGGTTAGACGTAATTCTTGTTTTTTATTTCATTTCTAATGAAATAGAGGAATACATTGGTTTATGCTGTAGATTTCAGAACTGGTATTTAAGGAAAAGCAAGGGCACAGTAGTCAGAAGAGGTGGCACTGAACTGCATTATTCTTTATAACATAATATATATTTATCACTACCCAGTAACGGCTTTATATTAGATTTGCTTTCTGGAGAAACTCGTTAACATTTAGAAAAGATGATGGAGAGTGAGGAACAGCAGAATGTGTGAGAGTTATAGCTCCAAACTAACTTTTTCACCACCTTCTCAAAACTCACAAAGGGGAGTGCTAACATCGCTCCACAGCAGCCGCGCTGACAGGGGGGCCTGCAGACATTTTCTTTATATCAGCCTCGCGAGCGCAGGCATTGGCCGATGCCGACGATCTCAAAATGCCAGATAATCAGCTTGATTAATTGGTCTATCAGTACTAGTCCGTACGACATGGTGTCAGACCTCATCTGAAGAGTGTTTATTGCTGTCCTCAACAGTGTGTTAGTGTTTGGGCTGGCAGTGAAAGCAGAGTAAGGTAGATGTTTCCCTCCTGTTCTCCTTGAGCGTGAGGCTTTGATTCCCAGCAGCAAGTCAGCCATGGAAATGTTCCTTCAATTATACATGATTATTTTAATGACGCTGGTGTTCCTGCTGCTTTCATCTCTTTCCTTTCCCTCTGCTTTCATCCTTTTACCCCCTCCACCCCTCCTTTCTGTTCTTCATCTTCTTCCCTCCTCGCGCTTCCTTCTTTGTCTCTCCATCTCCCAGGAATAAGGATACCTCGCATTACTATTTGTGTCTCCAGTCCGACACTAAAGCTTCCTTTCCATAAATAATCCTTCACAGTGCAATTGTTCCCGCTGTTGTACAATGATTCTGTTGCAATGCAGCAATAAGCAGCGATGAAAACATATCTGTTGATTAATTAAGGCTGTAGGCTTGGAACCTGTGCGAAGCAGGATTTTTGGGTTAGCGAGGTAAGTTCAGGCTTAAACCCGGGTCTCTTAGTGCTCAGAGATCAGTAGAGCCCCTTGGCTTTCCTTGATGATTTTTATATGAGAGATTCTCATCGGAGGGACTCACTTATCATCCCCTGGCTGTCTAGCAAATCCTGAGCCTGTCACCATGGCAGAAGGCTCAGCTCGCCTATTGTCTCCCCCTCAAAATAAGAACAGGAAACACTGGATTCTAAACTAAAGAAGGACAGGGAGATGAGGTGCAATCTGAGGTCTCCTGCCTGCGATGCAATAAAATATCGTAGTATGTAAATGAAAATATTATAAAGGTAGGGCGTGATAGCATATATATGGTATATATGACCCACAGTACTGCTTCCAGCACTGTATGGGGAATATCACCTCCTCACTTGTACATAGAAAACTTCCCAAGTTCATAAACTTCAATTTAGGCTCAAAATGAACTTTCTATCTTGACAAATTACACTCGCTGTGGGCGCAATTTTGCCACTATACCTCAAATCAGATCAACTCCTTGCAACGTCATCAACATGCCCACTCGCTCGCTGTGAATCCTCCGAACAACGATCTGTTCTTTCCACACATGGGCTCCATCGGACATTCACAGGTCATTCTTACTGAAGCTTCAAAGGCCTAAAAATAGCACAGTGGACAGCACCATTATACTATATATTTATTATACAATTGATTAACTTGAAAGCCTTTAAGCTCAGTTGATTCTGATTGTAATCCTGGGGTTTGATGGATGTTTTAATGTCCTGTGGTTTAAATACTTCAGAGGCGTATGTTTTTTTTCTGACAATAAAATCCATAACTATATGCACACTGTTGTGCTTGGCAGAAGAGAGCATTTGTGGATTGTGACACTACCGAGCTTCAGAGCTGCAACGATTAGTCGATTCATTGTCAACTATTAAATTAATTGCCAACTAAAAAAAAAGAAAAATGAAATTCTGTGATTTCAGCTTTTCAAATGAGAATATTTTCATGATTGAGTTGTGGACAAAATAAGACATTTGAGGATCTGGGCTATGGGAAAGAACATTTAAAATTCAGACATTTTATGAACCAAACAACTAATCAACTAATGGAGAAAAGGATGAATCAATAATGAAAATATGAACCTCAACAAAAGGGAAAACCCTTGTTTCTGGGTCTTATATTTTGTAAAGTATGTTTTGCTTTATAACATTAATCTCCTTTTGAGAAAATATATATCTAACTTTGTCTTGATAAGATATTACAGCTAATACTGGGTTAGATTTAACCAGTAACAAGTTACAACAATGGTTTGCGTAGTATGCCAGCAGAGGAATTCTAGCCAAGCAAAACTGGCTTATCCCATAGGCAGATTGTTTGCTCACTCCAAGGAGATGTGATTATATTTAAGAATATTTGGCTTTAATATTGGTAGAAGGGCTGTTTTTGTTGTTGTTTGGTTGTGAGCCTGATTGATTTCAATGTGTAAAACATGCTGTGAAATGTGCTGCTTTTAGCATCTGTCAACCAGACACATGTAGCCTGACAAGCTGATGATCATTCCCAGTAACTGAGAACTAAAGGCATCCATCCATCATAAATAGGCTGCTTTTTTCACTCCACCACCTAATCTTCCTACATTTTGTATCAATCACTCGACTCAGCTAGGGACCGACTGCTGTTGATACCGATAACAAATGTTTGTTAACAGATACTTTTAGGGCATCCCCCTAATATAAATATACAATAGAATATAAATCTGAACCGTTAGTCGCTGAGAGGAGTCTCAGTCGGAGAGTGGAAACAAAAACACTCCCCTCCTCAGTATCTCCTGACAGGTCCTTCCTTTAGACCATTATGCCACATCCCTGAAGAATCTCATTAAAATGTATCATCATGTATTATCAAAAGTTCTTTCTCCTCAAGCTGGGTAACACTGGTCGAGTGTGTAATCAATCAAACTGCACCATACCTACTGTTACAGAAGTGGACAATTTTCATCAAAAGGCCAATTATCAAGCCCGATTTACAGCCTGAGAGCGTTTATCAATATAATATATCAATCTGTAATAACAGCGCTGCTCTGGGCTGAGTCTATGAAGAATGATGGTGACAGTAGGGCACCCAGGAGGGACGTGTGTGAGGCTAAAGGACGTTCTGGACGGTCGATCACTATTAAGTGAACGACAGAATAAAGGTCGCTAATGTGCGCGGGAGAACTGCAGCCCTGTTGCTCCGCTCTCATCATTTCCAGAGGATTACCATCATATTCACTAATTAAAGGATTTATGAAGGGCTTATTCTCGGAGGTGCTGTGGTCTTAACGGGATCCCTCCACGTTTGAGCTCTTAGCCCACTGTCTTCCTCCACCAGACGCACCATTAAGTGGCGACAGTCTCTGATACCAATTAGCTGCAGCACACAGTGCATTTACTTTGTCCTACCAGTGAAGTGAAGGCACTTCGCAGCTGTTCCTTCTTTCGCTGTGCTGCTCCGACGCTACGAGGACACACACTTTTCTCCCCGAGCGTTACCACATCACCACGCCAGTCACACGCACAGCCAGCGAGAACAAGGACACACTGAGCGTCTCTGACAGAGACAATACAAATCGTGGTTTCTGTGATATTCGGAAGAGAGCGGGGTCTGAAGGAAGACCCAGTAGTGCAAACATCTTTTGATCCAGTTAGCTCTATAAAAACAACAGCCTGTATAAAAGCTGGATGTAGTTTCTCAAATCTTCCTCCCATCGACTGCATTAGATTTCATCCCTTTCATGTTAACAGCAAAGAAGAAAGATAGGAGCATTTATATTTCAAATGTGTGGCAGAACAGCATTATAATGTTTGTCATTTTGGAGAGATGTCCTGGCCTACACATGCTGTTCTCCAGACGTAAGAAAACAGTCACATCGTCAGTATTTGAAGCGTTTTTCAGTGGAAATTCAATTTGTGTCGCAAGAATTATCAATGCCACACTAATCCCACCATATCGTGCAGCCCTGCTTTGCCCTCTTCACTATCTATATAATGAGAGATATTTCTCAGACATTGGGTTACACATTCAGGGAGGATTCGGGTTTATTAGCACTGTAATAAAGACACAGAAACTAACTTTGACTAAAAGTATATATATAATATTCATAAGGGTATAATCGTATTTTGGAGGGACATTTCGGGCGCCAAATCTTAACTCTTTATTAATTTATGATTATCGTGTTTGAACTTTTGCATTTATTACGAGGTCTTCTTGATTTTAAGTGGTGCAAACTTAATTAAATTGTTATTTTTTTATTTATTGAAGAAACTAAACTTTGAAGAATGAACACACGCTATTTTCACAGAGCCTTCAGTCTCTGCAGAACAGCTTTGTCCTGTATTAGAAAAGTACGCAGTTAAAAACAAAGAAGAAGAA